CGGTGGTGGCTCATTTCCGATGTCGTCGTCATCATCGTCAATTTCAGGAATGCAGTCATGGGGCCGAACCATCTGCACCATTTCGCTGTCCGTTAGTGGACCGCATGTTTCGACGTTGCTGTCCACAGTGACATACTCGTCAAAACGGACGTCACCGAGAGCGGCGCGAAAGTTACCGTCGTCGAGCTCATTTGTTTGCGCTTCCACTGGCGCACAAGGAGAAGCATCCCCCGAGTTTTCCATGAAACCACAGGCACGGAAACAATTGGCGATGGTTTCTTCTTTCACGCGGGTCCAAGCTCGCGCTAGCATGTTGATGGCACTAAGCAAACTCACCTCGTGTTGCGACGAGTTGTCCATGCACAAAAGCATGCGCTCGACGAGATGCTGCCTATACAATACCTTCACATTTTTTATTATGCCCTGGTCCATGGGCTGCAACACGGACGTCGTGTTTGCAGGCAGGTACACAAGACGGATGGCACTCAAGGCAGGTACGTTCATGTGGGCACTACATTGGTCCACAAGGAACAACACCTTACGGCTTGATTGCGCGAACTTGCGGTCGAGTTTGGTGATCCAGTCCTTAAATATATCGGATGTCATCCACGCCTTTCTGTTCGAGGCATAATCCACAGGAAGCGTCTTCACGCCTTTAAAGCACCTAGGCTTGGCAGCCTTCCCGATCACAAGCAGGCGACACCGTTCTAAGCCAGTCATGTTCGCCGCGACTAGCACTGACACTCTCCCTTTGCTTCTTTTGCCTCCAGAACAGTCGTCGTCTTTAAATGTCAGGGTCTTGTCCGGTAGCAGCCGATAAAAAAGCGCAGTCTCGTCTGCATTAAAAATGTCTGCCGGCTAGTATTCTTCGAGGTACTCGCAAAGCTTGCCCGCTTTCCATGTCAGGCACGTTTCCTCATCGACTGACGCCTTCTCCCCACACATGCTTTTAAAAATCAAGTCGTGGCGATGTTTGAAACGCGTAAGCCACCCATCCGAAGCAGCAAAGTCGTTGATGCCCAACATTTCAGCAAGCGATGACGCTTTTGCCGTGACGACTTCACCACTGAGAGGAAGTTTGTTGTTTCGTGCCTCCCTAATCCAAATCAGCAGTGCTTCCTCCAACTTGGGGTAGGCGCCGGTGCGCATCCGCTTCCGCGATGTCTTGAATTTTTCACTTTCAAACGCATCCAATATTGAGCGCTTATTCTTTATGAAAGTCGACAGCGTGTTAGGCTTAATGCCGTACTTTCTTGCAATGTCTTGTTTGGCGGTGCCTCCCTGGTCAACTTCCTTCAAGACTTCGACTTTCGTCGCTAGGTCTAGCGTTCGGTAAGGGCCACGAGTTGCCATTATCAAACGTACGTCACCACCACAACACTCAAAATCAGAAGCGCGGAAACACGTGTGGAGTCAACCCAGCGCGCGGCTGACGCGGTGACACACTCGAGTCTCGACAAAAGTCAACTAAAGAGTCAGTCGATGCCGCCGATGCGATTCGCCAGCGTTAAAAAGATTGCCGCTTCAAGATCTGTGGCGCTGCAGACAGTAGTGATGGCGAAGACACCAGCGCGGTCTGGCAGATGTTTTGGCATATGAAAAGTTCCCCATTTTACTGTAAAATTACGGTCGCGACGAGACTGTCGATTGAAAAAACTTCTAATTAACCAATATTATGGGTTTTTAACTTCGAATTATCGAGCATTTCTTTCTATACGATTGCATGCAAAACTGATGGGACCACTTGCTCATTTCTAATTAACCGAAACTTCCAATTAAGCGACTTCGAAATACCGGGAGTCGACTGTATATGCAGGTTTAGCACGAAAATTTGAAAAATAAATGCGCAAATTAAAAACAAAAGGGTGACTGAAAGCAAATCTAACCCAAACACTTATTTTACACTAAAAAACTGCGTTATTATTGCGATAGCAATTATATGGACGCTGTCGGTCGGTATTTGCCGTCGCTGCCATGTTCCGTAACAAGTTCAAATTGATAACATGTCCCCGCGCATCGTAACTTTCACGAGCGGGTAAAAGCGCACGAGCGCTGCTGAAGCAGAGAACAAATGAGTTAGCCCATCCGTATCGCCTCGAAAGTGCATAAGATAACATCTCCTGCGTGTTAGAACTGCCGTTGAATGCTCCAACAGAAAGTTAACCATCTGTCTTGAACAGCATGAAACAACATGGGTATGGGTGGGGGGGATCCCGTTTGAGTAGCATAATGAACTTGAATTATAAGGGCGGTCGAGAGCACTGGCGTGCTTGCCATCTCGGCGAGTATCAGTGCGGTTTCAACACGACTGCATGAAAAGAGCACTTCTCCCTGGAGCGGCCGTATCTGCTCACACAGTGTTGTAGAAGTTTCGCGATATTCGATCAAAAAGAGTTGGCTGCCAGCCTTACTTCTTATAACATTGCAATTTTTTGCTATCGCGTTCATTGCATTGCATTCAACGCGCCATCGTGCTTCCAGAACCACGACCGCTGGATAAAAAACCACAGCCAGTGGCCGTGCTAGAACTAATCGGCTCATCGCGAAAGCTACAAGTTTGCGAACTCGCGGCGCAAGACTGAAGCGCGTTACGAGTCGACCTCTGAAGATCCGTCTTTATCGTGGTTTCGGAGGGTTCCCATCAGCGTCTATTTTGACATCCCCTTGGCGATGACGACACGATTGTCCGAATTTTAAAAAAGTCTCAGTTTCGCCGCAAGGGCGAAGCAATGAATGCGATAGCAAGAACTTAAAATGTGACGCTGAGAAGGGCAAGCAGATCGAAACGTGCAGCGTGCTGCTCATGCAATAATGACGCACGAAAACAACATATACAGGACGAGAGCGAATTAACAATGTTTACCCCTCAACACTTAAGGCGCTGTTTAAACAAAAACGAGGCACAAAACGTAATCACAGGTACAGATATGAGTGCGAACAAGTGCCGTAGTTGCTACATCACTGTGTTTGAAAAGTGCGCTCTTTTCGCAAACGGCGCCTTTCCAGCGGGCAAAGTGATCTTTATGCGCCTAGCAACTAAACGCAATCGTTCCAATTAAAGTCGAAGACGCACGATTGTCCCTAACCAAGTCTAAGCGCGCGCGCACACACAAGAATCTAACCCTCCCCTCGCGGGGCAAAGTACGCATGGGAGATAAGCGTGCTTCGGCATATCCTGACGAGCTGGGCGCCGGGCGTGGGCGGCCCTTTTTTTTTTTTTTTTTTTTTGAGTTTTCATATATATAGATACGTACACATATACGGTGAATGACGGCGGCACTGGCAAAAAAGCAGCTGAGACTGTCCATATAATTGCTATCGCAATTGAAAAAAGCAAAGCTGAACGTCGTCGAGGGCGACATCAAGCACGCAGTGAAACTATGCGCGCGCACGGCGTCGAAAACGAAGAGCGAACGACACGGGCACAGACACAGGCACAGGCACGGATACCGCGGAAAACTCTTCGGTAAATCGCCCTTCATATGCAGCGCGGCCCATATGTGATGCTAAATGAAATCATGGCACCTGCCAAAGTGCAAAAGTTGGTTTTTTTATTATTATTATTATTTTGGTTTGGAGTGGGTGGGGGGGGCACACCTACACATGCGCCCACGGCAGTGAGAATGGCAGCAACACCGGCTCGTGGGGTGCAGGCCTGCCTGCCTGCCAACCTCACTCGCTTAATAACGAGCGCTCGTTCTCGCCTGGGGCGCTGCGGCCGCTTCGTCGGCGGCGGTGGGGCAGCCGCGAAAGATGCATGCTCAAACCAAAAACCAAAATGGGGGGAAAATTCGTTATATCAAGGTTGTCTCCCCTTGTTACTTTGTTACAAACTATGGAGCAACGACGGGGAATAGAAAAACATTGTTATACCGAGGAATTCGTTATATGGAGGTTCATTATAAGCTAGTTTATATTCGTTTGAACATTCAAAGCTCAAAAACTTGGAAGTTTGGAGTGAATCAGCTTCATTTTCGGTACAGGCAACGCATGGAGATCAGCTTTTAGGCAAAAAAAAAACTTTGTTATTCGGGCGGGCAGCTGTGTCAGGTGTCTCATTGGGAGCTTTTTGCTACTGAACAAGCCTCTCACCGTATTGGAAATCTTCCTCTGTAAAGGCTGTCTGCACATAAGACTTGCAGTCGATGGCTGCTTATCAGTACTGTTTCGCGGTCCTAGCTTACAGGGGTTTTTTTATTAAGTAAATAGCCTTGGGAAAATTTCAAGCATGTCCATGCTTTAAAATGCACGGCACCGCATGCTCGTGACCCAATGCATATGAGGTAGACGACCACTCACTCGTGCCGTTGCGATGAACACAAGCGCCAGGCAGCACGACGAATTGGTCGAGCCGCACTTGGAAACAGTGATGTCCTGAAGATGTTGACAATCGCCATTGTGACAAACATGGGCACTAGGCAATACCATGACCTACTTGTCTTGGTCAAGCAAACAGGCACTTTGCAGGTGCTTGTGACGGCTACTTCCACGTGATGCCATCCTTGTGGGCCCACATAGCACGCCTGGCCTAGCACACTGGGTTCGAACTCCGAACTACCTGATCGAATGTGGTGATGGCCATTCACCCAACTTGGTCTTCCTATTCCTTCACACTTTTTAGTATGCAACGGCGGCCAAACCGAAACTTAATCATCACACATGCGTGCCTTGACATAGCTATATTATTTTCTTGCATATTAACTACAGTCCCATTTTTTAAGCATATTTCTTGAGTTATACTATGCAAGAGAGACAGTAAACTAGCAATGAAATGAAGTTTTACACTGTATATGGAAGGCATCAAGCTGCTTCGTACGTTGCATGGAATGGGATTGAAATTGCTAGTTTTCACACATATTGTAGCAGACGACATCAGTTGGACATTGCCATCAGCAATAGCAGAATTGCAGTGGGTGTGCCTTCATTCAAATTGAAGCGCTTGCATTATGCAGTCGTGTACTGTGAAATCTTCTTGCTGAATCTGATGCATTTTCTTCCAGCCATTATTGAAGGCACCTTTGCCACCAACATGCCTCTACAGCACCTTCAAAAGGACCTCTGCCTTGCCATTGGCATTGGTGACCAGTTGGAACAGCCTTTACCAGTCACAGCGGCAGCAAATGAGGTAAGAGTCCGCTCCATGGGGCAACAAACACCATCTGATCGAACTAATTCAAGGGCACTTTGTTGGGCTTGTTAATGATGACGCAATACTTATGGTGTATTCCAAGTGTTGGCAACCTTTTGAGGTGGAGGGCCAAGACAGCGTGTGGCTGCATGAAAACCTGGGGGGACGGGGTGGATTTGCAAGCACAGCATAAAAATTAGGCAAATTGACCCTTGTTTATAAGACTTATAAAAGTCATGTTTATTTTCAGCGTGCATGTCACAAAGTTGCAATGGAAGCATAGGTTACTAGTGAAAATCCTATTTTATGTCAAAACTACGATGTCAGCCTCCAATAGGAAGTAGCAAAGGAAAGAGGGCAGGGGGTTTCATGAGGTGCCGGGCACCTCATGGTACTGCCAAGTGAGCAGGAGGTTGCCGACACCTGATGCATTCGGTCAGCAGGTAGTCTTGTCGCTAAATTGGCAGATCCGAGTGCAGCTTGCAATCTCGGTGGGATACACAGTATACCAACGGAATGCATCAGCGATATTGAAGTAGCGCCACCATCTAAACGAACATTCGTGCACAGACACATAATGCTGGCTAGCTCTGAAGTACCTCAACACAGCAACATCTCTGTACTTTTTTTGCATAAATTTGGTTATTGTCATGTAAAATGCTAGCTTCTTACTAGTGAGGTAGTAGATGCAGCCATAAGTCGGTAAAAAAAAAAAAAAAACTGAAGGTCACTCAGAGTCACTCAACAAATATATTTTGCTCTAAGGGCTCACTTGAATCCGGGCTTATAAAATAATTTTTATCAATCAAACACACTCGTACCCAAGCTCGCCAACAAATTGCTCAGCTGAACCGATTCAGATTCACAGCTTGGCCCGATTCCAAGTGAGTCTGCTGGTGAGTGCTTTAGCGTCACATCATCTTTTTCAGTCATGGTGTCAGGGTTCTTTAAAGGGGCAGTAAATAACCCCAAGGTCCAAAAATTGTTGTAAAGGGAAATATGTGCAATTTACTTCGTGAACATGCTGCCACAAGAATTTTGTGAATACGTGCTATATTAAGGAAGTTAGGGGGGCTAGAACATCGCGTTCAGCTGTTTAAAAATCGTCATGCTTCGAGGAGAAGGTGTGGCCTGTCGTGACTCCACCCACTTCGGCAATGTGACAAGACCTCAGCTAGTGACGTCATCGGCGAACTCGATCAGTCGCAATGCACTTCGACTTGCTGCGATGCCTAGTTGTTTAATGTTTACCCAGTGCCGATGGTTGTCTGCAGCCCAGTCGCTTGATTAGCTGCAGTCATCGATTTACAGCAAAACTTATGTTCGAAAGCCCGGACATAAAGTTGGCCCTCCTTATTTATTTTTTTATTTTTTTGCAAACTGCTTCGCCATCTGAGAGCAGCTGTACAAAACACAAATGAAGCACTTAATAGTGGGTGTGCTGATCAACAGGTGGCGCAGCAATCTGTTAACTCCTAAAAACTGCGTCAGTGAAGTGTCCCGATTTCGATGCGTAGAGCCTATGGGGAGTTTCGCAACTGGTATGATTGAATAGCTCTATCGTAGACTGTGGGTAGGAACAGGAACTGTCATTGACTTCACTACTGTTTGTTGAGACCTGGTTAAGACCAATCGCCGAACTGCTCGCTGCGTCACGTCGCCGATCGCCGAGTTGTCATCACTGTGCGTGCGTGGTCAGGCGTATGAAAGGAGCGCGAGAATTGTTTTTCGAAATGGAGGTTCTGCGTGGCGCGCAACTCTGTAATGTTCAAAAAACGAGATCGCTGCAGTCTACTCTACGAATTACCGAGCTTGTTTTGGGGGGTATAAAAAAAGCTTGGAACCTGCTGACTGGCCCTTAAACGCCAATACTTCACATAATCGGAGCTCTACAATTTGCCTTTAAATTTCTACCTTCAAGTACAATTTGAGTGGTTCCAATCCAGTAACTATATTTTTATGAAATGCGCAGCTTATGCGAGACATCTTTATCTACAGTTTTCCCACCCATAAAAGAGCCTGCAGGTGGAGGTCAGGGCACATGAAATTTTTGTTAATTAGTCACATCAGCGTAATTTCAGCTGTGTAAAAGTATTTCTGTCTCGACCCAGAGTTCATGTGCAAAAGCAACAAGTGCCTGACTGTGATAAAATTTTTTAAAATATCTGTATTTTCTAAAAAAACTGCTTGTATAAGTCAGGAGTGTATGAGCAGAATGCTATTGTACTTGTCTCGTAATCGATGTCTTGGTATGTACACACTGGCTGTGCATTGTTACTCTTATCCCTTCGGCAGGTATTCAAGCATGCCAAGAAGCATGGCTACGCGGAACATGACGCCTCGGCAGTGTACATCCGGACTCGGCTCTGAAGGCCCCAAGACGCCTCCCTCTGAGAAAAGAGAGAAATACAAGAGCAGGGAGTGCAAGACACACACACAGCTGCATGTGGTACCGGAGGGGGAGGCAGGATCATCCCATCTACGGGTTCTTCCAGCCCACAAAATTAGGAACAGCATCTGCAGTGCACTTGAGGCAAGGGTTGACTAGGAAGTGTGGTGCCTTGTTATCAGCAACGCTTTTGTAGGCCACAGTCGCATCATTGGCTACCCTTTTGTGCTTGCAATTAGTTTGCCTTGCTTAAGGCTGGGACGCTTAGCTGATCCTTAAGCATCATTTTTTTCCTAAGCAGTGGCAGCCTTGTTGAGCCAAGTTCTCTGAGCTGTAAATCGCTCACCTTGTAGATTACATTCAGCCTATTGAGAAGCTGGACGAGATGTTCTAGATGATTACTTGCTTATTAATCTTGCACCAATCTTAAACGGATATTTTGTGAAAGATCGTGTTACGACAAATTGTGTGTCTCATAGTACATCAATATTTTAGTTTCTCAATTGTGTTTGAAGCAATGTATTCATAGTGAAGTCGCAGTTCAGCATGATCATGCATTAAAATTGTTAAATATTTGTTTGGCGATGTTTGCGTTTCGCTTTCCTTGTTCAGTGGTGAGATTTTTGTCTGTTGTGTTGAATGTAATGAACATACAAAAACTGGTGCTCGCCATTTTCTGCCTTGTTTTTTTTTTTTCTCCAACTTCGAGCTGCTGAATTTTTTATGAAAGGGCATTCTTCATATTGTAACAAAGGGCAGCATTCACGATTAGATGTGTTGCTGCCGCTGTGTGTGTGCGTGAGTGTCAATATGGCCAGTGCATTGCATGCCTGTTCCTGCTAAAGAGTACAAGATCTCCTTCATCCCTTCCTTTCTCATTGCATTATGAAGGAAGATCAGAAACTGCTGTTTGCGTTTTTATTCTGCACCGACTCTTGCCCTTAGGCTGGGATGTGGGTGCCGTACCGAGTCCCATGTGCAGGTCTGCACGGCCCATCTTTTCATTCTCTGGGCAGCATTGAGTGCTGAGCTCTCCTGCTGTTATACATATTAACTACAACACCCCATTCCATAAAAAAGTGTTACCATGTCATACATACACCAGAGAAATAAAACTATCATGTTCACTTTATTTTAACCTGGTGTGCTTGCTTGTTACGTTTGTGACCCAACTGAGGTTTGGGGGGGGGGGGGTAGTATTTTTTTTTGTGTAGGTGGGTACAACCTCTAATAGCAATGTCATTTCCACCTTGGAGGCGGATGCACAGAAGCTGGCACCAACGAGTACACGCTCTATAGACTATTTTATGGTTGGGTTTCAGTGTCGCAATGTTGGGCTGCTAACCTTTCTGTTTTGTATCTTCCACAATTGAATAGACAGTGTCATGGTAGAGGCATATACATGAATATGGCTGGGTTGCTGCATACGATGTTTTATTAATTCACGTCGTGATATGCAAAAACAAAGAGACATCGGCTTGACAGCCCAAGGTGGCAGCGCCCGGGTGTCTTACAGAAAATAATCTATACTTCATCTCACCACTACTGTTCCACACTACCAAGGGTACAGGATGTAAGCAAGCTGCACGCTTGCGCACTAAAGCCTAGCTACGTATTTAATTACCTTACAATTCATGGGGTCAATACATTTGAGGTTGTTCACCACTTGTTATGTCACATTGATGCGTGATATGTTTATTCTTCGCATTAATGTCATGTCACTTTAAATGCAGCATTGTGAACCGCCAATAAATGTGGTTACAAATCAGCATAGCAGCTCTCGTGGAGATGCGACCGCCCACTTCAGTCTCAACTTACACTTGCTATTCACCCACTGCGGTGGCAGCCACAAATAAATGGTGAAATGAGTCATTATTTTGAGCCATTTCAGCCTGGAAACAAAGCATCAGGTATATTGAACCCTTATTTGCCAGGTCAGCTGTTTGTTTAGCCATGCTTGCTAAGCCTAACCTGCCGAGAATTTGATTCTGGTTCTTGGAACTGGAGGAATACAGTCACGGATACATTGCTGTCAAAGCATCAACACTTTAATCTGAAGCAAAAAAAAAGTGTCAATTTGTAACTTAAGGGTCTCGCAGCACACGGTGACGACTTGATCAATTGTAAGAGGAGGGCATTAGCTACAACAGGTGCAGCCATGTTTTGTTCACCGTCTGTTCACTTTACTTGCCCTGTGCACGCAAGCAGATGCCAGAGAGATGCGATGAGAATGAATACTTGTGGAAGGGCTTATTGCCCTTTCTACTGGCTGAGGAACCCAGTAGCCTACACAGTGCTGAAGGGAACTCCTGAGATGGAGCATAGACATATCATCTTTGTTAGAAAACACGCCCTATACATGAGTGAGACTATGTGCTCAGTTATTTGTGCTTGGCCTCTGCTGCCTTTTGATATTGCCTCTAAGATATTGTAATTTCGTCAACATTTCAGCTACAGCATCATCAAATCATCTGCACCATAAATAAAACGATGCACCTTGTTTTACAGCGGGTGAACAAATGTCACTCTCCTGATCAACACTGCTTTTCCTTCTTAAGCAGCCGTCACAAGCGCCTCCAGTGCAGTCAATGGGAGCATGCCGTCGCACTGCTGAAGTAAACCATAGAGGCCACTTTGAAAGAAATGGTGTATGGCAGCACACACCAAGTTAAAAAATGAACACACACACAAAGGGACGACACAGGTGCTGAACTTCAACTCCGTAATAATAACGACCTGCTAACTAGCTCGCAAGTACATTTTAGAGGGAAGCGCATGGTTGTGCTTTGTGCTGGGCTCGGAAAAACTGGCAGCCCACATTTCATTCTTCAATTACGTGATAACCTGTGAAGGCCAAGTAGTATAACGTCAAGCTAAAAATATCGGAACAATCGGTGACAAGCGTGAACACAGGCACTGTGGTGGTGTCTTTGGGGGTGAAGTTACAGACATGGATGCGCGGGTCCTGTCGATTGGATTGTGAGAGCCCAACACTTGTGGCATCACTGTACTGAAGTAACTTCGCTCGTTGGTTGCCTTGCACTATGTCACAGCTTGACATGTTGGCAATCACTTAGTCTACAGCCCACAACACACCTGGGGCAATTCTTAATGTTAAAAAAAAAACATAAACGCTGTCTAACGGCTCAAATCAATACTGAATATGCGTCACAGGCAGGCAACGCTAGCTGTCTGAGTCCCAATATCTGGTAGTAAATTGGGGACTGTGTGTTCTCTTCATGTTGCTGTAAATTGTAAAGTATCTTTACAATCTAGAACATTATTTCACATTGAGGTGGTAAACATTGGGGCATAGATAAGGCGGATCTGATAAGTCGGATAATTCGCTAGTGTTAAGTCTGGCTTTCATGTTTCCTATTATGATATGAGCGGGCGTTTTGAAAACTTGTTGGTTGACCCGCTGTAATCTGTCGGGATTTCAGATTTAAAGGCTTGTTATAAAATACATAGTTTATGTCGAAAGCTTGAATTGGTTTGCTTTTGATAAGGCCTCCTTTACTGGCTTGATGCGTTCATTTCATAGAGCCTAATGATGACATAACACTGAAAATGTACATTGAATTCTCAAGATTTTTGTACTTGAGAAATTTCGTACATTTCCAGAGACACAAGTAGTATTGTGCATTCTATAGAAACCCTTTGTCAGCTAGTACACTTGACAATTAAATGAAAATACCTCTTCTTTGTATTCCAAACCACTCCCTTCTGCCCCTTTCTAATCGTGATGCAGTGTTTCTTACGTTTAGCTAACTTCAGCATTGCCTTGCCTGATTTTAGAAGAGGCGAGCGTCAGGTTGAATTTTCGAAGAGCTTAGCAAGATCTTGACTCAATTCAATTAGGGTGCACAAATGTGGAGACAGTAGACGTAAATAAATATACATTGACAATGTAATATTATGACACAAGTAGAGGCTTGGGATCCAGTTGTCAAATGTTTTTTGGGACATTTTTTATCCCTTTTGAACATATTGCATTTGAAAATGTGAATAACCAAATATTCAAACAGAAGCAAGATTGTCAAATGTTGATCTTTCCCAATATGGGTGACTCGTATTTCTTGTGGCCTATTTATATTTTCTTGAATCAGGCACCATAAAGAACACGAGCATTGTTTTATGTCGACCATGAAAAAATATCCTTTTATATTGCAATAATTTTGCTTTTGTCATTCTAATGCAACCGAATGAATACAAGCCTTATGAGAATATCTCGTGACTGCACGTAATGGTGCACTACAAGAAACATTTTGTCTCCATGCAACACTTCAAACAACAGAAGAAAAGCCTCATGAAGTCAAATGAACGTGTGTGTGTGTGTGTGTGTGTTTCTCTTGGAAAGCTTCATTTGTGTTTGTCTTGGACAGCCCAGAGTTGGGCATTCAACTCGCACTTAAAATTTATTTGGAAAAACAAGCACCAATATAGGTGATGTACAACTTGAGTTGTACATGCTGCATGCAGATGGAAGGCATCTGTTGCAATTATATTGCTGAGCAAAAGGTTACTAATTGGCGCTTAAGATATGTACAAATGCACATACAGACATACGTTGAACGGCCGCATGGGTTTTATATAACCAGTTTACAGTTAAATAACGATGTCATCGGCAACATGTATGACAGAAACACCAACAGTGGTAAGCTTATATGTAGCACTGGTGCTCGCGAGGATGGCAGCGCCCACAGATGGACAGTTGGAACAAACGTGAACAAACAGCTGCAGGTACAGTCAAATTGGATGCCCACTAAACGTTGTCGCATATGGGAGATATATCTCTCATGTCTACGTTCTGGCACCGGTGTTTACATCAGTGGTTACAAGCAAAATAAAATTTATTTCACAATACTAAGGCAGAGTAGAATATCAAGGCAGTTGATATAAATCAGTTGCACAAAATAATCCCGTTTGTAGTACATAGTTCGAAAGAAATGCAACAGGAATAATAATATGTAGTGTTTAATGTGCCAAAACCTCTATACGTGTGAGGGTCGCTGTAGTGGATGGCTATGGGAAATCTTGACCACCTGTTATTCTTTAACATGCTTCGACAGCACACGGGCCTCTGTCATTTCACCCCCATCATAATCGAACCCGCGTCCTTCGGGTTAGCAGCCGAGCACCGAAAAAGCCACAACACTGCGGTGGACACAGACTGAACAACAACAGATAGTCCAGTGCCTCATCAAAATAGACTTTCTCAGAATTGTATCTGGGAGGAGTACTTGCCGGAAATTCTCTTGAAACAGAATGAATAATAAATCTATTAGTTTTGGCAAATAGTGGTTTAATTTTTCAGTGTGTTCGGGGGCTTTCTAATGTTCGAGGGCTGAACGTGAGGAAATGTAAATATGTCAAATTTACCTTTGAATAATAATAAGAGAGCACTACTTGCACATATGTTCAATGTATCTGTAAATCTCATTAAGTTAGTGGGTGAATCACACCTAGTCTATACCTATTTAATGAAAACTAATCTAATAGCTTTCCTTTGTAACATCTCAAGTTTATATATGTCGTACTTAGTGTGGTGATACCAGGGTTCGTACAGGTCCTTGAAAGCCTTGAAAACCCTTGAATTTGAAAAACACATTTTCAAGGCCCTTGAAAGTCCTGGAATTTTTCACCATCCTTGAAAATGCTTGAATTTCGGGAGTAGTTCACTCTCATATCGACATCGCCACCTCCTAAATGTGGTAGATCGGTGTGTCCGCCTGTCAAACTTCCCATTCCCAAAGCAGTAATGCGGCGTGGGTGCACATGGTCCCATTTTGCAGAAACTAACGTAAAATAAACATAGTTTTGTGGTGAGGGCGAAGCAGTGAATGCAATAGCAAGAAATTAGAATGTAACGCGAAGAAGGGCAAGCAACCCCATACATGCAACGCGCCATTCAAGCAAAAAAAGGTTGCATGAAAAGAAAGCGCGCAGGACGAGTGCTGATCAACAATTGTCACAGCTCAACATTGGAAGCGTGCTACTTAAACAACCAAGAAGAATGCACATGTATCCACAGGATGAGTTAATAATTTAACCACTGTCACAGTTGTTACTTTTTGGTTGTTGAGCAACCTGCTGCAAGTGTCAACTGTTCACAAGGCAACGCTCTTAATGGGGTGG